CAGCAAAGCTAGTCACCCTGTCTGCACTAAACATTTCTAGACAACAGATCTCTAATCCATATCTATCTAACTAAGAAATAACCTAACACAGTATACAGAAAGATTTTCCCTGATGAAGTTTAAAGCATTAACCAACTCTTTATTAAAACATTCAGTGTTATGGAACCATATTGACAGATATTTATAAAATTATAGTCTGTAGGAAATAAGCTATTTTATAAAAAAAAATAAATGCATCATGTAACAGTAAGAGTAAAAACAACTGTAAGGACGGTTGAAAATTTACTAATTTCTGTATCCAACAAAGCGGTCACGTCACAAAAACGAACACTGGAAACCGAGGACTCCAAAGGTTTACTAATCTTATGCGATGTTGCACATGCGCGGTCAACACAAAGTGAACGAATCACTCCCCGAGATGACCCGATGTTCTCGAGTCATGGGAAAGATTCGTTCAGGAGGAACGAATCGTTCGTGAACGACACATCACTAGTAAATAGTAGGGTCGGCACTTCAGCGATAAAAACTCCACTTCTGGTGAACAGTGCTTGTGGACAGTCAGTACATCTCCACACCACGGGTTGTTGATAAACACACACACCTCCTCCCTTGACCTTACCAGAGTCTGGCGTCCGGCCTGCTTGATACACGGAATGTGTTTGTAGCTGGATTGCGGATTCTGGAACTTTGTCTGACAGCCAGGTTTCGGTGAAAACGAGAGCGCAGCACTCTCTTATAATTCTGGCTCTCAGCTCATCCAGTTTGTTTTCCATGGGCTTTACGTTCACTAGCAGGAGGCTGGGTAGTGGTCGCCTGGCATGGAGCCCTCAGTCCTCCTGCAAATTTTATTTAGTTAAAATGATTATTTCACCTGTTAGAACAGGCACATACTGTAGTGAGAGAATGGGAAGACCTGCTACAAACTCCTGATGATATAGCTTTTAGTCCCTCAAATGATACTGCTCCAACCCCAGACTTATAACTTGTCATGAAACACATTTCTTCCCCAAATATAGACCTTTGAATTGCTGCCTGTATCTCTTGTTCATCGTGCATGGAAACAAAATGGCAATTCAATCTCATTATCGAGCTAGATATCCATGAGAAACTCACTCATGAGGCTGTATCTTATGATCCACAATGTGGGGAATATGCTACTTAGTTGACACCAGTATGGCTTAATGGATTATGTTTTTCACAGAATATGAACATTTATACTGCCTCAGTATGTTATTGAATGTTGGTTGAAATAGCAAATCACTGTTGGATGTCTTACTCCCCCCCACCTTTTTTTGTATATGAAACAGACTGATAAACTTAGTGCTTTATGTGTTTATGGCTGCAATTAAATTAGATGTTCAATTTCACAGTGCCTATTTCCAAGTGTGTACATAAACAAATACATAACTCTGAATATATGACTGGCAGGCAGACATTTTTCTGTGTGCACAAAATCTAAGCACATCATGTCATTTCCTTTATCCGTGTTTATTCCCAGTTTGCAGATGGAATTGTAACTCTGGATACAGTCACATCTACCAGAGAAGAAGAGGCAGTTTGTCCTTCTCGGCCATGTTACAGAGACAGGTGAGCACAAGCAGCAGGTGTTTCTGAAGTTTTGTTGGTGCTGTGTTCAATATCAGCTTCCTCAGAAAGTCTGGATCACTGTAGTCCCTAGCCTGGGTGCTGTGTTCATCAGGCTTCTCCTTCAGGATCCCATAAGTGTTAACAATAAATTCAGTGAAAGGAGGGTGAAGTGCTATTTTATACCCGAGCTGATTCAACTGGTCCATGAGGTCAGCATGCCTCTGAGTGAGATGAAGCCGATAGCCTTCGTCTACTTTCCCTGTCAGCGGGTGTGTGGTAACCTGCAAGAGCGAAAGAAAGGCTTGGTACTTTTCTAGAGTGATCTAAGTGGAATGTCATGGTCAGTGTTATTTTTCTAAATTACCTGAAAATGGGACAAGTTACAGTTGAAGCTTTGTTCAGATTGGATCTCTTACTTTGGACTGTAATTTAAAAAAGGAACGGAACATGTTGTTCCTGAGCTGTCCACAAGTGGGGATTTGATAAACCAATCTCTTCTTCTGAACACCTCAAATGTCAATGAGAGATTACTGACCTCTATGATCTTGTGTGGTATGTTGAGCACAGTGAAACCATAAAGCCTCTTATGGCCCTGGAAGACATGGGACAGAATCCTTCTATCCAGTTGGTAGGCAATCTCTCCTAGCAGCCTGTCTGCAACTAAAGTGAAATTAAATGAATTTAAAAAAATCTATTTGGCACTGTTACTTCTCTAAAATGTCAGCATGTCTGGTATCACTCACCTTTGACCTCTGGAGGAATAACAGCTTGGCAGCTTTGACACTCTGCCTCCTCACAGGTGTCTGTGTACATGGAGCTTTGGATGAAAGACTTGAAGTTGACAGGGGATGAGGTTCGGTGTTCATGTTCGAACTTGGTTTGTTTCAAGTGTTTTATGAATTCTCTGTCGTCCAAGGTGCTTTGCCACAGACTGGATGGTTTTCTTCCTGATGGTGAGCAAACGAGTAACAAGAAAGCCAAATATTCTCATCATACCTGCCGTATCTATGACAGAGTAGATACAGTCTTACATTTTTGTGCACTTATACAGTACTTGATAAATGCGGTGTCCTCTTGACTTGTCTAAAACCCAGAATAGTGACCAGCACCAGACTGAACCCATTTTAGCCTGTTTTTCAGAATTCCTTTTAAAATCTTATGCCTGCTTTTAAAATCAACATGCCCTTTGTCCTCACTATATTTCTGAGCTTTTACTCCCATTACAAGTTCCTCCAAGCTATTTGACCTGATATGGCTTACTGAGAGCATCTTTTACATCTCTTCATAAGACATATGAAAGAACTCATCCTTATTTTACTTTAATCATCTTTATTTTTCTGGCAGGGTATATTACTGTGATTCATGTGTTTTATTCTTATCTATCTTTTGTTACTTTTAAATTCCCTACAGACTTCTATTAACAGCCTTTTGAGCACTTTGTATTTAAGAACTGCTCTATGAAGTTTTTAAATTGATTACTGTGTAAAAAGACATGACAAAGAGAGTGGTAATAAAAAAAAATACAATAACACCTATTGTAACATTAATTTTGCATATCGTACATGTACTAACAAAATAAGAGATCCTGTCAAAAAAGTTAAAGTGAAAATATTTAAACTCTGTATAACCAACCAAGGTAGGAATCTCATTTACAAATCTTACTTCCCTGTAACTGTATTAGTGAAAGATTTAACAGACAAAGCACCTATACATTTATTGTATAATGATTTTACCCTGAAGGTTTGTAAAGATTTTCAGGAATGTTTAGATCCTGTATGTATATACAAGATACTATGCAGCTAAACAACATAGAAACTGGGACTAACTTTGATTGTACTGTAATCGCTCCATCCAAAAAAAGATATTTCAATTATATCTTAGAGACATATAAATATGTCAAATTTTCAAAATTATTTTATGATAAAGACACACTCAAATCAGTGATTAGTTTAAAAAAGGTCAAGGCCATTTCTTTCAAAATGCCTTGCTAGAAACTATGTTGGGTCAGCTTTTCCCTGTCAACTTTTATGAAACTGCAATTATAAATGGTGGGCACTTATAAATTAGTTTGAAACCAGAAAAGGGTTACAAGCTAACATAACAAATGTATAACATTATGCATTTAAAAATAAAGGCAACACAATGCACTGACAGCTCTAGCTGCACTCTAGTGACACACAAAAACACTTTGAATACCTGTGATCTCCTGAGGAGCATTGTTGAAGCTCTGCATCCTGGCTCGCAGGTCTACATTTTCCTTGACTACATTTAGCATCAACTTCCACTGTTCATTCTCCTGCCAGAGTTTTTCATTTTCTAACTGCAGGGCAGCAACAGTTTGTTCCAGGTCCATTCTCCCAGTTTCACAGCTGAGCCAAAAACATCCACAAACTTTATGGATGCTGACAAAATTAAATCAAATCACAACAAGATGCTCTCTGGTGGGATGCGATTCTGTCTCTCCCTATATAGAACACAGATCAGGTGTAAAGGGAAAAACAAAAACAAAACTTAAAAGATATTCTTTGCCATGGAAATAGCTGTTTGACTAACTGTTTAACCGTATCACCTCATCAGTGGATGAGAGTTTATTTAGTTACCATGGAAACAGAGCTGTTAACACAAGCTGAGCAGCTTTTTTTCCACTGTAGCTTTCAGCCCTTATCATATACACTTTAGGTTGAGCATGAAAATGTACTCATGACCCTGGAAGTAGTTTGACAAAACAATTCCATCTCAAGGTCGACTCATTGGGTTTTTCCTGTTTAAACCATATGACAAGGTCTTCATAAAATTTTTTTTTTACTAATAAGCTTGCATATCAACAGATTCCTCTTCATGACACTGGAACAAACGCCTCCCCCCTTTTATATTATCACAAAAGAAACATTTACATTGGGTGAAGCAAAGAAATCTCAGCCATGTAATCAATGCACGCTGAGACATGGTAATTAACTTCTATACATTAACTCGATACAGTGTTCTGTTAAAACTAATTTCTCTGTTGCTCCTGTTCAGTTCCCCCTTGCGCTTCCAATGATGGAAAGAATATAGATGAAGATGTTGATGATGTCTGTGTAGAGGTTAAGAGCAGCAAAGATGTATTCCTCTGCACTCAGGGCCAGTTCCTTGTTACCAAGCAGCATCTGTGTGTCAACTGCCAAGAACTGTAACAATGAAAAAATTCACGTTTAGCCTTTTTCCATCAATAAATATCTGGTTTTTAATAATGTAGTGTGCTCTTAGCTTAAAAGGGATGATTCAACCAAATTATGATATTTGATGTGTGTTTACACCACAATATCGAGGACAATAGTGGAATTCAATTTGTAGTACTTGCAGCATAAAAGTCAAAGAAATAATGCATCTTTCAGGAACACAACAGAGGATGATTTGGATGTGTATGTGAAAAGCATAAATAAAAGAGCTTATTTACAGTATTCATTTCTTACACCTGCAATGACTGCCTCTAACATTTAATATAAGGCTAGGGCAATGCTCAGTAACCTCTGAACTCATCTACCTTGTTCTATTACCCATTTCATTTAATGGAGCCACAAGAAAATTCCATAGGGTACCTTTAATGCATTTCAAGGCACAAGAAAAACAACCACTGCATCATTGCCCATCTAATATTCCCTCTAAATTACAATAAATACTATCCAAAGGCCTGTTAATGCAATTTGTAGTTGGATTTATCTAGCAGGCTTTACTGGTGCACTAAATTTTGGGTTTTATTCTGAAACTTGGATTTCACATTAGGTTACCAAATGCCAAAAAACAGAGGTACCATACATACATAACACAAGATTAAGTAAAATCCAACCACTGATGCAGCAGTTATTGCCTTTTCAATCAGATTCACCTCTTCAAATACAGTCAAGTTGCACAGGAAGTGAGGATCTAGTCTGAAGATTCAAACCTGGTATCACAATTACTCTCAACTCACTGCTGTCATTATCACCATACACGGTAAAGATGGATGAAACTGGTTTGTAGGGACTTACACAAGTGAAGAGCAATGCTCCCAATCCAGCATACACAAGGTGCAGAATCCTGTCTTGGATGATGATGCAGAGGATGCCAAAGACAAACAGGACTATTACACAGACGAAAAGCACGCCGTAACAGGAAGTAAAGTCGTATTTAGTCTGTGGGAGGAAGTCAAGAGTGGGATAAGGTTCCATCATTCTGTGTGATCTTTGTGCACAATATACACCCAAGGGGCAGTGAATGACATATACAAACCTGCAGAGAGAATATTACCACGGTAAAGCACACAAATGCTGTGATTCCTACTGCCATGATCACTGAGTCAGTGTCATGGTAGCTGGCAATCATTCCCACCATGTAGGACATACTGAGGGTCAGAACAGACTGAAAATGAGAAACACAAATACAGATACAAATCAGTACTGCAGCACATTTTGATTGGAATGGTATGAAGCAATAAAGCAGCATCCTAATCTCTAGTTTTACCAAATTTCACTGTACAACTGTGCACACCAATAATAAAGGTTCTCTTATGAGAATACATTGTTGCTACTTCAATTTAATTTTAAAACACTTTTTACCCCATTGATTTATAATGCAGAACGCCTACACAGTAATGATTCAAAGGTCAAGATCAAATAACATGGTAGTTCCAGAGCTTCAACTCCTCTCATCCGTTTCATTCCATTTTGAAAAAACAAAGTCTGAACAAACTTACCAGTGCAACCAGGTTCCAAGGATGTCTCCGGCGAACGCTCCCACAGCAGCTGATCACACAAAGTGACACAAAGAACACAGCATAGGACAACAGGTAGGTCCATGCATTCCCCTGGACAAAGCTCTTGGCTTCACCCACAAAGGTGAAAACAGCTACAAAAGCAAATGTCACCATCAGCTGAGCAGTTAGCACCAAGAATACCTGGAGAGAGATTTGATTATTAGACAGCAAACACATGATATTTTTAATAAAGAATGTGTTTCCAAGTGCATGTCAAGTTGCATCAACGTACATAATTAAATCCACCATGGTGGTGTTGCTTTAGGATGCATTTGTTTTACTGTTGTTTGTCAGCAAGGTATGTTCAGTAAAATGCTGGTAGAAAGTATGGCAACCACACTTTTTTAAAATAATAAAATATGGTGGATCTTATTGTTTATCATTCCATGGATTTTATATAATTCTACATCTAGGTGCAAAACAAACAAACAAACAAACAAAAAGAAACACCACCTAAAGATTCTGTATGATTAAGATTATAAATCGGGAGGCCTTATTAACCTTGGTAGCAAATAATGTAGTCTCTGTGACAGACTATCAAATGTCACTGTGTATATAATTCTATCCTGCAATATCAATTTTGCAGTGCAGTATATTTTTCTGAAAATTAACCTGAGGAACTGTTGATGAACTGAATAACCTCACAGGTATGACTTTTGTTTACAAATGCTGCAAATTACATCATTAAATTATATTTAAAAGTATAGTAGTGACAAAAAACAGTCACTGATTTGCAACACTGCTTACAATGGACTGGCACATCCAGCCATAATTAATTGCACTCTCTCCTTACCTTTCGAATGAAGGCTCTTCTTATGCTCTTGTTATCTAATCCAAAATCAAACTCTTCATTCTCATCGAAGGGTGGTGGGTCCTCCTCGTTATGGTAAACATCATCTGAAGTGACACAGAAATATCATATTGGTTAAATTATGCAAGGAATCTAATTCCGCATAAAAATACCACAATGTTAGAAATACTAACTGTTGAAGCCGCTATTAAATCCGGGGCCTGGCGGAGAATATCGTGAAGAAGAGGGGATGGCATCATAACCTGTGCTGGCTTGAGGGTTCGTGGCCATCCCGAAAACTCCAGGACCAAACGCCATCGGTGGAGGGAAAGGGGGACCACCAGGAGTAGGACCCCCGAACAAGTTTGGGTCTGACATGTTCGTGCCATATGCGGGAGGATATGGTGGCTGCCCGGGGACCATGAATGGAGAAGGAGCCCCATCCACGGGAGTCTTCTCGGTGCTCATCTCAGGCTTAGATCGGGAGCAGAGACAGACAGAAGTGCTGAATTATTGCGATATATCAGAAACGTGTGTCATTTTCAAAAGATGTCATGTGGAAGGTTATTATGAGCAAATACACAGCACTCTTTCGATAAAGAAGGTTAACACAAATCCACGGTGCAATGCGTGGTCACATGACAGAACCCACACGACGATTACTTCCGGAAGATATCAAAATCAACATCTGAATTAAAACAATTTAGGCCACATGCGTTGTACGTATTGTCTGAGTTTGCCACTAAAACTGACCACCAAGTTGATGTTAGGCTCCGGGTTATGGTGCATTTCCTATATTTCATTTGCTGTTAGATTCCAAAATTCGGAAACCGATTCCGTTTCCATGGGCTTTTTTTTTTTTTTTTTTTTTTTTTTTTTTTTTTTTTTCTTACTTTTCAACACCTAACTAATCAACCATGTCTTATGATGTCTAACTTGACATCTACCTTAACCAATGACCTTTGTTTACGGCTGAGCGCTGCTGTGATTCGTAAACTAACGTTACATTTCCCCGAAGGTCCCCGGAACTTTTACCAATAAAATTAACTTGGGCTATCTAGGCCACAAAACGTCACTTTCAGCGGAGAAACAGCCTTAACCTCATAGTCTATTCAACGTTAACTACATACAACCGACTAACGCTGCCTATACTAACACCGATAACTACCCTAGTTGGTAAAAAAAACAAACTCAGATGCCTTTTTTATGTTAAATCGTAGCTACAGCTAATGTTAACTACCAGCCCCTGTTTGCTCACAAGACAATAACGTTAACGTTTGACAATAAAGATAAAGTAGCTAAGTTAAAAACTGCTTACATTACTCACAATTACGGTTTCGACTCAAATTGTATTCCTCGGCAATTCTTTGTAGTGCTTTATGGGTGGTTTTGTCCCACTTTTCACTTTATGCTCACTCAAACAACAAGGAAACGGCTAGCCCCGCCCCCTACGTTTAAGAATATTGATGCTGCGTTCATGTCAAATGGGATGGATGGTTGATCTGGGAACAATATCCATTTCAAAGGTTTACAAGTGTTCACTTCATCTATTATACGTTTAAATAATGTAGTTAGAAATAGAGTTTATTAAAAAAACTTTATATCTGTTACATTTGGGCTTAATTCCATTCAACTCACTTTTGCTGATTAAGACATCCGTGTTTGCTTGCTTTTCAAGCACTTATGTTATTGAACTCGAACTTGAATATATTGAAATTTTCATAAACTTCGATTTTCCCAGTCGTAGTTACTATTTGAACGCAGCAGTACATGGTGAACTAATGGGTGAACTTCGGAGAAATAGAAAGTGAGACAAAAATACAGTTGAAGGAAGCAAAGTTAAATCTGTAAGCAGGGCCGCAGGCCTATGTCGCGGGTACAAAATGCTTGACATGAAGCAGTGACTCCCATGAACCGGCCAGCAGGTGTCAGAAGGCCAAAGATTTGGTGAAATAATCAAAAGGGCCACAATTAAGGGAATGTACCATATATTTGTGCCAGACAGGCTTAAGATCCTGCATCTGTCTGTCTGCTCCCCTGCTGTACCACAGGTCCCATTGTCTCCACAGCTCTATAGAAACATAAATGACTTAAGTGAAGGATTGAAGACAGGTGAACAAAACAACTGGGTTTCTAACAACCAGAGGTCACTGATAGGAATGTGCATTTCTGTAGTTAAGATATGCTCTGCCCCAGGAGAGCCAGCATGTTGCTGTTTGAAACTAAATTTGGTGTTTAAAATGTAACTTTATTGGGATTTATATAGTAAAACACTTCAGATTATTTTGAGGTTCTTGATTTATTGTATTTGGTTCACATCAAGTAGGAATCTGGTAAACCGTTTCTTTCATCTAATGGTTCTGGGAAGATGGACTTCTCCTACTCAATATTTTGGAGTCACAGCCAACCAGAGTAATATTAACAACTGCATCTACTCTAAGATGCCTTATAATATAAACAAAATCAAGCATCAAATTCCCCCATAGTGTATGTACAGTATGTGTAAATCAATTTGCATAAAGGTATAATCAATAGTTAGTGACTTCGGCCTGCTGTGGTGCAGGATCCATATTTTGCCAGTTGGGTTTACAAAAACTGGAGTATTCCTTGATGGAAGTGAAATGTATTATCTGCCACGTGTTACAGTACTTTATTTGCAACTGACCATCATGTGACATGACTTCATCATATAACTTAAAGACTGAGCAAAACTGACATTACACAGGACAGATGATTTTAAAAAGTTGAAGCTAAATTTCCTTTTATTTCACAAATTAAATGTTTGCATTATTTTGAGTCATGCATTACAAAATGCAAGGTGATATTGGCAATGCCCTTGCATTATGAAAAAACATTTAATGTCAAAAGACATTAAATGTAAAAAAAAATTTAAACAAGCAACATTCACACTGTCCTTTATCAAACCGCTCAAGTATAAAAAGCGACATTAAAGAACCTATTTTAGACAACAACAACAAAACTACAGAAAACAGAAAAGGCACTGGACCTACTGCTACCCTTCCACTCATAATTTGTTCTTTATACACAGTGTAGTGCTTTGTTAAGCCAAGGTTAAACAGATATCATATGCTCTTGATCATGAGAAATGCAGCAGCACATATGGACATGTTCTATATCAGGCTTCATATTCACACATAAACACAAACAAAGTGTATAACAATGTAAGGCTCCATAATAAATACATAAATAGGATCATTTAAAAGGCACATTATGAAACATTTTTTTCAAAACCTAAGATTCACATTCAATATTTTCTTCCCTTTTGCTGGGTTTACTTGAGGTGCAATTTAAAAGGAAGAAAAGTGAACTCTTTTAACGGCATCAGCTGTTACTTCAGCATTTTGTCCTGTGCACTATCAAAAAAAAAAACATTTTAAAGGGAACAAGTTTAAGGTGTCTAATCTATGTCACTCCAAACACTTATTAAAAAAAGAACAAACTCAACAAAACACTAAATTCTCTATCAGTGTCTGCATAGCTTTACTAAAGAAAAATAATGGTCCAAACTATGAAATAATAAAAGCTGCATGATGCTGTATCATGTTGCTCTCATATATATGCAGGTGTTTTGGTTTGTTTTCAAAGTAGCGGGGAAGAAACCTGATCTTTATAAATGTAACTGGCAATTCTATACAAATTCCACTGAAATATATATATATACATATATAAAATTCAGCAATGGTTGCTCTGAGGTCCAGTGAACATAAATAATATTAACTATTATACTGCTGAATATATTAAATATTCATAGATATATTCTAGAGTGAAAAAATACTGATCTTATTTCTGTTAATTTTTTCAGGCTCTTTGGTAGGAGGACCACTAAGAATAGATCTAGGAGTGACAACCATCATTCAGCTTCTACTGTCTTCTCCCTCCTAACTTCACCCTCTTCAGTGAAGGAGTTGACCTCCCTGCTCCCCTCCTTTAAGGTAGTTTTCATGGATTCACTGCATGCGATCTGCCTGGAGCTGCTGTGGTTGGTACTGACTGAAGGCTGCAGCGGCAGCAGCAGCTCCTGGGGTGGCAGCAGTTGCTAGTGGCTGTTGGACAGCGTATCCATACCCTGCTGTAGTCATGTAGCCCGTTGGTGCCGGTGAGGCTGCATATGGATACTGCTCATAGGCAGCGGCGGCGGCAGCAGCAGTGGCTGCAGCTGCAGAGTACTGAGCATATGCTGCTCCAGTATAGTCAAAGTATGGGGATGTGGCAGCAGCAGCTGTTGCAGTAGTAGCAGAAGGTTGTACATGAGGGATCACCACGCTGGGTTGGACAAAGGCCTGAGGATAGACGTAGTGGGCTGGGATCCTGTAGGACATAAAGACACAAAGGGTCAAGGCAGAACCACAGCTTGTCATCTGTCCAACGCTGAAACTAAATTCTGGAAAACTGAAAAGCAGGTGCCACAAATATGTCAATCCATTTCCCAGAACACAGCAAATCCATTCATTAACAACAGAGCAACCCTACCTAGAAATTCAAAAGTTAAGGAAGCAGCAAAACCACAAAGAAACACAAGCGCAGCTTTTAATTTCAAAAAGCACCCGAGTCTGAAACACAGTGAGGCATTAAAAGAAGACACAGCCCAGCTCTACACCCAGTGTTTCACTGAAAACTGTATTTGACAAAATGCGAGCTTATCGTACAACATCACAACATATCAAGAAAAGAAGTGGACATTGTTCCACATACTGTAACACCAACACCACACATAAGCATGCCCACACATGTTAATACATCCTTAAACACAAATAAATTGGCTTTCTGTGTCTTTAAAATGGAGCTGCTAATGAAAGCACCACGGTCATTGTAGCTGCTGAATTAAACATACAGTATCCTATTAAGTGCTCGGTAGTATTAAGTTCTACAGCGGCTCTCTTGTGTCTATTTGTTTGAAAAATAAATCTGTTTAACTAGTTTAAAGAATAAAAAAGGGGATATCCATTGGAATATTCAGTATACAGGCCAGGGTGTGTGTGTGTGTGTGTATATACACTCTGAGCAGATCTTCCTGTTTGCCAGTTTGTCTTTGTACTCAGACGTACTTCCCCAACACAAACATACACACACCAACTTGACTGACAAGGGAGGCTGGGTGCATTCTATTTTTGCTCCCCTTGTCATTTCCAAAGGACAAGCTGATCTTCTCCTTTAGTAACACATGGCAGGGCACTTGGCAACTGCAGCGGCTGCCTACACCACTGCACTGTCACTGTGGCTTTCCTCAGTGTATGTTTTCTCATCACACTGGAGATGTCCTACCTGATCATGATGTGGTGCTGTTGTTACAAAGTGGGATGCATCCACTGCTGTTAACAAGAGCTAAATGTTTTGTACGTGAAAACATTTCAAGTTTTGTTTATGAGTTCAATTTCATGTGTAATTTTCAACTTTGTAATACAGGAACCAACAGGCCAGTATCCCTTCTATATAATTTGACCTTAGTTTTAACATCAACAGTTGAAGTGCTATAAGTACACACTGACTTGAGCCATCTTGTGAGCCACTGAAAAGATGGGATGAACATTTTGAGGCCCTGCAAGTGAAGAGCTAAATAAAGGTGCTTTGTAAATCACCAGGACACATGGGTAATCCCCAGCAAATAACCAAACGGCCTCATGGGCACATGGCTCGGTCCACCTGTTGTCCACAGCTGAGCAGCCCAGTCTGTACCATACATTATTAACAGTGCCGGTGAGTGACTCCCATTTTCCATCTGAATTTGAGAGGCCAACAGCTGCTGCTGAAGAGATCGGCTAAGATCTCAGTCTCCAACCTGCAGTGCAGTAAACATTTCAACCTGTTTAAATATATATATATATGACAGACTTTTTTTGCAAAACTAAAATAATGAAAACATAATGACTTTTGTTATGATATTTTCAGTTAACTTACTTCACTGACTATTGCTTTGCTAATAATGTACCAACATGGGGGGAAAGTTTAACATTTGTCTTGAGTTTTCTGTGGTGAAACCCCTATCTGTGTGTTTTCATTCCCCCTGCACATTTTTATTTCACTGTTAAATGACAGTGAGAGTGATGAAAAGATGCAAAACAGAGAATCTTTTGGTTAATCAGAAAAGATATGCACAGTGATGTGTACCTGTAGATCTAAGCTACAAGTGAAAACAATGGGTTAATAAGAAAAAAGAAAACACAGCATCATGGGTAAGGAAACAGAAAAAGAACTCCCACATGCAAGCCAGTGTTTGTTTTGTTGCAGGGGATCGAGTTTGACATTAACACACTGCGAGTGATCATCAGCCCCCTTTTGGCAACAAAACATGATCAACTTAATGTTAACTAAAAACTTGGAGGGAAAATAAACCACAGGCTAAAGCACAAATCAATCATTAAAAGGGGAAAAGAATCTACACCCCGTTGCAGAGTTTCAAATCCCTATCCAAACTCACAAAAAAGGCTGCACAACAACCGCCTGCAACCCCACCTCCCCCACTGCAAGTAGAAATTAGCACACAGTTAAGCTGAACACCACATCATAGTGAAAAACAAGGCACACACCAATCTATGTACTATGGAAAACCGGAAATCACAACATAAAACTTCCATGCATCTAGTCACCATTTCAGTTTGTTTGTGTATGTCAGAGTATACAGGTAACACTTTAGTGCTCTGCCCAATGCAGACTCAGCTATTCCTCAAACCATCATGTCCCCTCATCAGCTATTTTAACCGTTACCGACCCTGTCAGATCAGAGAGAGACAGACAACATGAAGTCAAGTGCTGTAGTGGCTGGAAACAATTGTTCACTTCCTTCAACAGTCAACGCCAAGCAGAGGAGCACACATCAACACTCACATGTCCTCATTCAGGATGAAACAATTGGACACAATGACAAATAAAAAGTTTTACAAAATCAAAATGAATATATAGCATCATAAAAAATGGAAATATTGGAAAACCCCCCCCCCCGCCATTTTATAAAGGTAGATTTTATGAAAGAAATGGTAACTCTGTAGCTTCACATACCCATAAGGTCTTTGGATGAATGCTGGATGGATCTGCGGCACACCGAACGCAAATCCTGCAAAGAAAACACACCATTATTAAACTTAGCTAAATACTTAACTCCATACAATAGTGGCAGTCCCTGTGAGTATCTAAAGGCATTTGATGCTGCATTGTTTATCTAAGCTGTGAAAAAAAGGCTGTAGTTCAGTCCCTCACCAGGCTGTATGACCCTGGGCTTGGCCCCCAGGTAGGCCAGGTTCACATTGGCTTTCCTTCCATCAATAATGGGGTTGGGGTCCTTACAAGCTCGGTCAGCTGAGGCCCGGTCTGCCATGGTCACCTACAAAAAAAAAAAAAAATTCTATTCACCTTATCGTGATCTTACTGTACAGTTTGGTCACAGTGGCCAGGTAGCCCCCGCCAGTTACGCTTGTTTTTAGTCCAGCTCAGGGTAACTAACTTCTCACAGAACAGACAACAGCCAACCGACTGTACTTTCAGCCCAGACAGGTGCCTGCTTTCTCACTTGACCTTATCCGCGATTACGCACGTGCGCAAGCGACGTTAAACTATGAAGCCGGTGGTATATACAGGTTGTTACTTACAAACCCATAACCTCTGGATTTCCCCGTCTGTCGATCAGTGATGACCACGGCCTCTTCGATGTCTCCGAACACTTCGAAATATTTCCTAAGGCTGGAATCAGTTGTGTGATAAGGAAGACCTCCTACAAAGATCTTGGTGAAGGTGGTGTCTTTCTGTGCCGAGTGCATCATTTGTGGGTATATAAAAGTGATTTCCTGGAAGTTGTGTTCAGATAAAATAGAAGAAATCGTTCGGAACTGCTGGGTTCAGGGAGAGAGTGTGCAGCCCGAACAGGTTAGCCCCCGGTAGTGTGACTGTGGATCTGGAGGAAGAGGGCACCTATTAGTTTGTGGCAGGAGGTTTCCCAGTTGTCAGTGCGTGACACAGATACTTGACTCCACCCATATCCAGACCACCACAACAGCCGAAAGGGCGCACATGTCCAAGGTAAGTGTAGACAAACCAGGCGAAAGGCTCTTTAATTTCCCTAATAACGTCAGATAGAGCAGTGGGTCAGGGCTTGTCAGACAAGAGGAACTGAGAGTTATTTCGTCACAAAAAACACATTTGTGGAGGGATGGCTGTAACGTAACGCTGCACATGACTTTCGGGGTTGTAGTCAGAATTTTAGCAAACTAACTAACCCCAAGCCCTTTCATTTTTTTTTTACTCCAGTCACTGGATTTTGTTTTGTATTTATTTCATACCGTAAACTGTTTATGTATTGAAAATATTTTATGAACATTTTATTCCTAAATACAAGCATCTAACTGCTGTTCCAAAGCACCAACACTGCCAGGAAAACAATTCTAGTGGAATATATTGGATCCTTCTTTATATCTTTGGCCTAAAAGTGGATATAAAATACTGGATAAAAAAAAAATCATTATTTATTTGTTTTTAATATACAATGCAAATCCCCAAGACCACTAAACTCCACAAAATCCCTGGAAACAAAACAGGAAAAGGACAGAATCTGACTGCTGGTCTGCCTAGATGTTGCTATGGATTAATCTGTGTTCATCCACTGCTGAACAAAAATATTCATTTTTGTAACATAGCAATATAGTAACAGTAATATATAATTATATAATATAGCACTGAAAAACACACACCAGTTGTCTCCATGGAACACTATAATTAAGTTAAAGTAACTCAAACAATAAAAGGCCTTCAGTTTAGTGTTGTATTTCATGCAAGGGGCAGTCGATCTGGTCTACAGGTGCATGCATGATTTGTGAGGAACCACATGGTCACATGTTGTTTATCTTTACATCAGCCACAGACAGGCCAGGTTCCAGGGAACTATAAATGTGCTAGTGACAGGAGATATTTTTACCCTACGTTCAGTAGTTAGACAGTGGACCAAAGATCAGTGATGACATCTCACCCAAGAGACAAGGACGAAAACACTCTACCATGTAAACAGCATGTTTATGTTGTGTGCAATGCTTAGATAAGGCAAGGCACCACGTTTTCTTTGTAAAATACCCTCCATTATAATGACATAAGGTAGAATATTTTTCACTAAACAATTGCTTATTGGGAATATATGAGTGTTTGGAATGTATGAGCACATCATCAAATGTCAGTGACAAAGCAGATTTAAGGAGAATTTAAGTGCCATTTTGTTACATGACGATTAAAGAATAATTAGACATGTACTAGAAATATGTTTGTCAGTGAGACCATATTCTCTGGTTGAAAAAAGGGTATTAGTTTTCAGTTTCATATTATAGTACTCTGGTCAAAAAAACCTTTGCAAATGTCAAATAACAAAAAGGCAAAGTGTCTCCTACACAAATATATTACACTCTACAGCTAAAACATTCAAATATGCAAAAATGTCAACTTGAAAAAATAAAGACTCAACACAGCCAGTGATTATAAATGTTCTATTTTAGAACATTTTGTACCAATTAAAACAGCTTCAGATACATTTTAAATACAATTCTGTACATTATAATAGTGTAAATTCTACGTCCAAATACATTTCTATTTACAACTCCTTATGAGGGAGAGCAGCTTTGTTCTCTTCTTTAAAGTAAGGTCTTGGGTTCCTTTCATATATTTGAAATAATAGCTTTAATATATTTTTAGTCCATTCCACAGTTCACCACTTCCATTAAAATATGTTCATAGCACAACTTTTCTCTGTAACTATACTTTTGCAGTGTTTTCCCTAACCTGATACTATCCATCACTCAGTCATCCAGTACTCCAAGTGAAAACAAACCTGCATTATTGAGTACCTTTTAACTTGTAGTGTTATACATTAGACAGTGAACATATGAAATGCAGATGGACAAACAGTTATAAAGGTATTCAATCAGTCAGTGAGGCTGGATGGCATTTTGAATGTTTCATGATATACATACACAGGTTTCAGGCCCATATATTTAGTTATTCTTTATAACTCAGTGAACTTGTTATGGCACTGCTGTTTATGTGCCTTTCTTTATGGAAACAGGACAATAAGGCATCAGTATATCCAGGCAAAGCCCAGCTGCTTTGTTCGCCACATTTAAGGGATTGAAACAGTTTTTCAGTCGCATCATTTAGAAACACAAAGAAAATATTTCATCAGTCCAATATGGAAGACAGTCGGTGACCCATCCAAGAATCCTTTCCAGTGCAAGCAAACAGCAACAGTCTGGATGGGGATTATTTCCTCCACAGTGTTACAGTACTTCAAGATAATTTAATGTGAAAACTGCAGTCATGCAATGAAAGCAACTCAGGTTTTGCAGATTCGTCCTCTGTTCAGGGCATGTGGCATTATTCCTAGAAATATGGCACTAAGCTTTACGATATATAGTGAATACCTCCACATACGTACGTCAAAAAATAACATATTACTCATAACAGCAGATATGGAACCGAAGTTCTTTGGTTACCCCTGACATATCATTTTAATATCAATGTTTATTGACAGTAGTACATTCTTAATCTTCATAGCCCATATTACTCCACTACAGATCTCAGGGGAGGATGTGTTGTCTTATAAAAATATTATATATATAATGTTCAGAAACCATAGTAAGAAAACACAGGTGGGTGGTATTTCTATACGGACTCCCAGTTAAAAATTAAGTTCTCTATCAAAAATATCACTGTATAGAAAACTCAGATATGTGCATAGCGAATTTTCAGTGAACAGTAATTAGAATATACCTTCATTAAACGCACAGTTCAGATATGCTTCAGGAAAGCAGACGCGCCTACAGAATATATCAGCTCTGTCACTTGGTAAAATGGGTGGGGAGTGAGGAGCCACACTGAATTAGGCACTGGATCTGAGGACAATTGTCCCTGCTGCTATTCCTCAGAAAGTGGGTGCTTCTTTGGGTCCTATCTGATCAGAGTCTGGGATTCTGTGTCCACAGAGGACGGCCCTCTGGTGAGACGAGATGGCTTCACAAACACACCGTGGCCTGGTGGGCAGCGGAAGTACACTCTGCCCTGGACAGTCCCATTGTGCTTACCTAAGGAAAGGTAAAGCATAACTGATTTAAGGACTTGTGGATTATTTGTTTTCCAGCGTTTCACACCCTTTTACATTTAGACCAAATGAGGTGACAACTACTGTAAATGCAGACTTTCTAACGAATAAGTACAAGTCAAATGATTAGTATTACAGAACAAAGCCATGATGATTAAGCCTTTCTTTCTTGTATAATCCATTAATAATCACATTAAGTTATGCAATACTAAGAAACAATATCAGCCAGTGTTCAAACTATGTGATGATGGCACTATTTCTAAGTGACCTCAAACATATTTCCAGCTAAAACTCTCCTACAATATATGTATTTATTGGGCTCTTTTGGGCAAAACACATAAAGGGACTTACCCACTGCCATGTCCAGCTTTACACCAATCCAGATCCCTTTAGCAAACTCCACCCCTCCAACGTAGTGAACCGTTCCTCTTCTCTTCCCCACCCACACCTGCTCTCCAGGAGCCATCCAGTCAGGAAGCTGAGCTGCAGGGGTGCTCTCATCCCCGCTGGAGTCCCCTGAGGGGTCAGTGCTGCTGGGGTTAGGGCTGGGACAGGGACTCCCATGGGGCAGATCTCCCTGTGCTGGCTCCTGGATAAGAGGCTCTCCTCCTGATCTTGAAGCCAGGACAGAGGATGGGGCTGTAGACACTTGGGTGACTGGGGAAGGTGATGCTGGAGATGGGACTGATGCAGAGGGAATTATTAGAGCTGGAGATGGAGCTGGGACTTTGTCAGGTGCAGATACTGAAGTGCAAACTACAGTTGTGTTAGGGCAGGACACAGGTACACTAACAGAGTCGTCATTATTAGGACATTTGCATATAACAATTGAAGCATTTTCAGGATTAGATGTATTGATGACACCAGGGATGGCAGAGGAGAGTTGATTGCCAGTGTCACACGTATCTATGTTGTCTGGTTTCTTCTGCTGGTTTGTAGAGAGCTCCAAAGCCTCTTGATCCCAACCCTCTATATAATGTGTTAAATCACTCTCTCCAATACTGTCACCAGCCCCTTTAAAGTCAGTGAACTCCAGGCTGGTGCTGAGAACACAGCTGTGAGGCAGAGGGAATGTCTGCTGCTTGTCTGTACAATCAGGAATACTGACAGGTGAGGAGTTCTGCAGGTGGTTGAACAGATCCCCACCTGATGAGAGCGCAGGCTGCTGGGTATCACTTCTTGCAGAAATACTTTTGGTTTGGGTGCAGCCTCTTCCAGCAGGACAGCTGACGGGGTCCTGGGGGTCTCTGAAGGTGCAGCTGAGGTGGTCAGAGCTCTCACTGGCACTAAAAGGCATATCGGATAGTGTGGCATTGGAGGCACTGTGTGAAAAGTAGCCACTAGTGCAACTGCTGGCTGTGGGACTTCGGGGCGCCTCTCTCTCTCCGCTTCCACCTCCACACCGGCTTCCCTTTGAGTCAGAGCAGGAGGATAAAAACCCCTCCTGGGTCTCCAGAGTGGCATTGTAGATCTCAAAGTTTGCAAAGTCCTCTGGGATGTAAGGTTGGAAGCTGCTGTTGTCCTGAGGGCCCCGGTCTAGATTCAGAGTCATGTCCACATCGGCCTCCTCCTCCTCAGAGTCCTGCTGATCAAAACAACAGCAAGAGGACAAAAGACTCATCAGAATCAGCTTTATTGTCGAAGGTGTGTTGAACACACGAGGAATTTGACTCTGGTACAGCGGTTCTCAATGTGTATGTACATATCAACAAGCAAAGGAATGTGCATTAGGAAAAGAGTTAAAAATAAGGGTAAAGTACTTATAAATAGAGACCTGTACACACACACACACACACACATATATATAGATATATATACTGTGTATATCTATATATATGTCCCTGATAGACTAGTGGCTAGGATTCAGAGCTCTCGGACGCTGCGGCCCGGGTTCAAGTCAGGGTTGCGG